ATGATGCCAGATTCAGGAATGGGACAGGATTTTAGAGTTGACTAGAGAGTTTGTGGAACTTTGACATAGTACATCAGCTATCTTGATTTCGACCATTATTACAGAACATGCTTTGACTTGCTAATAGAGGCAGTGGCAGAAAACAATTTAGAAATATGTCAAGTTGACATCTAGTAGATTTCTATCTCTTCCACCACAGTCACAGCCCTGCAGAAGTTGGCACTTTTACAAAATGTTTTTTATGAGGTAGAATGACATCAATTGAAGCAGAATCAAATGAGACGGTTGAAAGTGCAAAAGTCATGCAGATATATTGCCTGCTGCTATACATGATCCAGCAGTGTTAGATGAGGAAATCTGCAAGGTCGTTCAGACCCCAGCTGTCAGGGAATTCCAAATTGGCTGCATTCTCCAAACAATTCCAGCATCGATGATGGTTGCCCCTATACTCTGATGCTAACTGACCTTGCGCTCCCTCCAAGCTGACTTGAAGCTGTGGTGTGTGACATGTTGTGACTTTAGGTGACATTTGCATAACTGCTGATTTCTGTGGGCGCCAGATTGCAGTGGAAGGAACAGTAACAGACATTTGTCTTACAGGAAGTCATCCACTATCACCATCAGGTAAAGTTTGGTCATCCTGAATCTGACTGTTTTCTGGCTGACATTACATTCCTATCACATACCTCCCATAGCTCTATGGCCTTCTCACATCACTTTGATCTTCAACACTTTGACCAGTGGTGGAATGAGTCTAACCCTGCTCACACAAACTTTTCCCACATTCCAACATATCGTCTAGGAAAATTCATATCAGATACCAGGACTTATGAGCTTTTCCATGATCATGAACTGCTGGCCATGATTCCTGCTCACTACAGGAATGGCCTGAGATTTCTCAATCATGACATTATCTGTTTTCAAAAACTGCTGCAACATCCTAGACCTTCATACCGTCCTGATCTCTTGCAGCTCAAGTATGAGATCTTTGGAAGGGAACTCTTGGTACTGAGCAAAATAAGGGAGTGGTTTATTCAGGAGGTCCGTAGTGGATGTCTGGCTGACCAGCCTGAGACATGGATGTCTCCCATCATGAACTCTTTCTTGGCTTATATGTATTATTGTGGATCTGTGAATCCTTGTCATAAATCCCTCATGATGAATAGTGTTCTAGATGATCCTCAAACATACGGTGAGTTGGAAATCTAATATACATCTGCTCAAGGATCAAAGTTCTGACCCATGACAGATTGGTATAGTTGGGCAGAAAAGCAAGTGGTTCCAGGTTTATGGGGAAGACTGCCAGAGCATCCTGAAGAATACCAGGCTGCTATGTTGCAAGCCATCATAGCCCAAATTGCACTGGAGCCTCATACAGAGTCTCCTGGGCCATGCTCTGAAATGTGGTGCAAGGGCATGATCGACATGATGATTCAAACCAGACTAGAAATTGAGAGTGAGGTTGCTGTGGTGAGTATATTCTGTTCCGTTCATTTTCACCAAAATCATGGCTGATACTCTCTTATTATCAGGACAAGTCTGAACAAGAGATGCCAGGGTATGCTGTTATATATGCTCTGTTTTGATGAATAAAGAATGCTGACATTGTGGTTCAGGAAGTATATGTCTAATGAAGCAGTGAGAAAGGCAAGGGGTCGGCCCAAAGGAGTGTGCAACAGCATAATTGTGGTGCCTCAGATGCAGTCCAAATCCCCCATGAAACTACGCAGCATGAATAAATCTGGATGTTTATCTAGATTATCAGCTCTATCCATCAGCGGGGATCTTGTTCCAGAAATACCCATGACTAAAGATGCTAAAGGTTAGCGTGCTTCCTCTGATTTTGCCATCCCAATCATTGAAAAATCTTAATCAGAAATGGAAGAGCTTGACCAGGTCCTGAGATTAAAGACTTCCCCTCCAGACTCTCTCCTGGCCGTAGCAACACCTACCAGAAAATCTGGTGCTTTGGCAGACAGGTAAGCGGTCCAAATTGATTTTTATCATATGCCTTGTTTCTAAACATAGCAGGAATACCCTCTTAGATCTGGCATCGTTGAACCAGGTGCTTACTCTTTTGCATCTAAACTGGTTAATCATGCGGCTGATGGCTGACATAACAACGACAGGCAACTGCAAGCTTGGCACTGGAGTCTCCAAAGAAGCATCCAAGAATATCAGCAGAGAATGATGTTCCTGCTCTAGATTTGTCTATCTTTTTCTTGAAAAAGTTGCATACAAGTTCTGCAAAACCTATGTCACTGACGCCAGCAAGTTTCTTGCTCTATGCTCAAGAAGCCATACTGAAACTTTCCATTAGGCACAGCCTGCCAAAAGGCTTCATGTTTTCTTGAACAAGAAACCATCCGAACCAAGCCAGACATCATCAGACTTTGCAGCAGCTGCTGTTGCACCTTCATATGTCATGGAACTAAGATCTGATTACGGTACACCAAGTTCAAACTCCCCATTGTGTTCAGAAGATTTGCCGTATGATATGGATGTGGACCAGGCTGTAGATGTCGATAGTTCACTTGGACATGCATCTCTGGCCACCCCTGATTCATATCCAGAAGATTTGCCGTATGATATGGATGTGGACCAGGCTGTAGATGCCAATAGTTCACTTGGACATGCATCTCTGGCCACTCCTGATTCATGCCTAGACTTACCAGGGAACGATACATCTTTGCCAATGGCTTCCAACCACCTAGAAGAATCTGTTGCATCTATATTCACTCCTCCAGGTACACTGCTTCTATCAAAGGATGATCTGCAGATGTCTGCTATCTCTTCTCCTTCCTGTTCCAGGATGGAGCTTGAACGGTCTTTACCTATTCCATCACCCTCTATGTCCAGTTCTGATGAATCTGCTCAAACACCTCCGATCACTAGCAAAACATCCAAAGGCACTTTGGTTTTTACCAAGAGTCACGATACCAAGTTTTCCTATGATTCAGTCACATTCATACCAACTGCACCCAGATCCAGAGTCAAATCCAAATCCAAATCCAAATCCAGTTCAAAGGTACCTGTGAGTATTCTTTCTCATTGCCATGTCTGGTTTAGTACAGATAGCAATTGATGTATTGTAACCCACCTTCTCAGATACGTGCCCCACCTGGCCAGAACAACGAGAGTCAAATGTTGAACAAGGGCAAGGAAAAAGCAAAGGCGACATGTTCAAAAGAGTCTCAAAAATCTAGTCTGCAGGAGAGAGCAAAGAGCAAGGACGAGAGAAATATGGAGATCTCAGATGAATCTCCAATGCCTCATCCTGGTCCTAGTACCAGGTCCAAGATCACTGAGACGCTGCCTGCAAACATGTCAAAAGTGGCTAAATCTTGTCAGATTGCTCAGGAATCTGAGAATCGGACATGGAGTGATAGGGTGGGTTCTCATTTTCTCATTTCATCGAGTTCTGATTGTAATGATGTTTTGCCATTACAGTTTCTTACATTCTTTGGGTACCTTGGGCGTGATTGGGCCCAATCTCCTGCACTTCAAAATGATATAAAATTGCAGGTTGGCAAGGCCATGATCTCTAGAGATGTTGAGGTATGTCTCGTCTATGGTGTAGCTGTTGCTGTAGATCTGATTGTGTTGAATGATCGGCAGAAGCAGATCAAGAATGACATGCATGTGATAGTCAAGTATGTCTATTGGATGAAAAAACGGAGGGGAGCGGTCAAACTTCAAGAACAGCCTGAAGTTGGTTTCAAAGTTCTATTTGAACTTTTACAAATGAGGTCTTAGTCTATGGTCTGGTATATGTTGGATTGTTGAGTCCTCTGTACTTTACTGTTTACAGCCAATATCTTGGGCAGGTAGGACATTGGTAATAGATAGTTTGGGCCAACCGTTGTGTGGGTACGATCCATCTGGTGTCAATCTGATCCATATGCATGGTCCAGTCTACAGGCAGACGATGACCTTGGCCTACCAACTGACTGTGCCACTCACGTGCCTGATGCATCGCCCATCCATTCCCAGATACTCCAGCTGTAATTCCACGTTCAATAGGACAGCAAATGAGTGCTTTGAAAAGTTCATCCACCAAGTGGGCGGCATGAACTTTAGTTTCTGGAAGATGAGATTCGATAGAGTCTGTTGGCGACAGAACTTTGAGACATCTTGTATGATACCAGCGGTTGCAATTCAGACAAAATCTTTGGATCTCCTTGTTCGGGACTGAAAGGCTTGTTGCATGCAGAGACACAAGAGAGGTGGATTAAATCATCCTATGATCAGATGTTGGTCAATTATGTTCCTGACCTCTTGGAGCTCATGACAGACCTGAAGTATGGGCGGTGAAGAGCTTGCAAACCAGCGTGTGTAAAATTCATTTGAACACCAAGGCTTTTGTACTCCAGACATGTCATCGAACTTGACTACCTGAATGGTGCCTTGAAGTTCAATAACAAATCTTGGTTGGTCGCACAGATCTACAAAAGCTGTGGTTTTTTCTCACCAGCTAATACTTTGGCTTCTGCCCAGATGGACAAATCTGACTCCAACAGTTCTTGGCGTCCCATGCACAATAATCTGGAGTCTGACTGAGAAGCCTTTTTAAAAATTGGCTCTTCAAAGTCTGCCCTCCAATACCAACGAATCTTGACCCAAAAATGCTATAAAGAAAGAGATGATTGTGAAATTATGATATGCTAGCTGTTGATGGATGCAGACCTCTGAAGCCCTTGCACGCTTGTCTACACGGATACATTCAATGATTGCATACCATAAATCATTGGGATCCACTCCCTTACGCCCTTCTTTGGATGCATACACTGAAACGCTATGTGCAACATGACTCAGATGAATTAGACCTGCATATGAATTCATGCTAAGCATGCTTCTAGAAGAAACACACCTTTGTCCAACTTTGTATTCGATTTTATTCTCCCCTTCTTCATCTGAATCAAGGTAATAAACTAGTTTATTTTCTCTGAATCAAAACAAAGTTATAAAAGTGCAGCAACTGACTCACGGATTGCACGTGTAGTTGGTAAGTCATTGAATTTCTTTAGGGACATGCCTTTGGGCAGCTCTGACATCTTCAAATTATTTTGGGTGCTAGTGCAGAAGCTTGAAGTTGTGGACAGATTGTATCAATGTTTTCGGTCTTTATCTGTTAGTCTGCACTTTAGCCAAATATTATGCAAGTTTTGTCCTATAGATGTCAAGTCAGGGTGATGGCTCACGTGCCTGTTTTAGACTGTACTACGTCATATCAAAATCAATCTCTCAAAGCCCAACTTGACTGTGCACCAATTCTGTGCTTGCTTATCCTATAAAAAGTGACTAACTGCTAGGTAATCTTTAACTTTTAATACCCAGCAAAAATTGTTTATCAATCTTCAGTGTCCACTGCATATATTCCACCACGGAGTCACATATATGTCTGAATCTCAACCACATTCACCCCAGCATACCTCAGGATGGCTGGATATGCAGCTATCTTCAGATTCTGACTTGCATGGCAGCTCTGATCATACAAATCATGGAATCTACAGATCACCATCAACTTCCCCTTCACCCACATGCATAACAGAGACCTCTGAAGATGGCTTGAACTTTGGCACCTTCCAGATTGATGGATCTCCTACAGCCAACTTGGAAAACTTGCAATCTGGCAGGTCCTCCGTTCAAATATCATGGCTTCAGTTGGAGCTTCCATCAGGGGAGAGCTCAGAAATGAGATCTGATACTGGTGATGATAAAATTCTTCCTGCTCTATGGTCTTCTGAGGAATAATGATTAGATGATGTCACTGGTTCTGATACAAGAATCAGACATTCTCATCCCATCTGCGATGATTTGTCTGATATTCTGGAAGAATACATGCAAAGACATGAGGTGTCATCCGATGCTGGTACACCAGAAGGCCCACTGTCAGAGTCAGATCAAGGTCGTGCTGATGATTATCACCCTGAAAGCTTGGAGGAATGTGGTCCAGCATGGACCAGATCTCATCTGGCTGATGATTCATCCGCAAATTCTGAGCCCCAAGATGATATGGAATCTCCAGGTGAATGAATGACTTGAAAAATACCAGACTCCAAGCCTATCTAATTAAAGGCTGTAGCGGATGTAGACCCCATGTTGAACTTGGCATGCCCCACCCTATGGGTTCCTGCTTTTGAGCAGCTTCACACATTGAATCCTCAGATGCCTGTCGGGGGTGCAGTCCTTAATTTCTTCCTAATGACCAAGTGGTGTCCCACACGTGGACTAGGCCCTTTGCAGTATGCCGATATAATGGCCGTGGCCCCTCCAATAGTCAACAATCTGGGTCAGATGCCAAACTTGGATGAAATCCAGACTTTTCAGCAAAGGCACTTTGTGCCTCCTTCTCAGAAACATCCTGTGTCCCAGGTTGGCTTCATCTTGGATATATCTCAGCACTACTGTGTGGCCATCTTTGATTATTGCCGTCAAAGTGCTCATATTATGGGACGCCATGTGACTTCAGAGGCCAGACCTGAAATCAGTCCACAAAGTAACTGGGAGGAATGGCATGGTCCATCATACTGGAAACGCTTGGCCATCTTGCATGGCTGGCCTCATGGAGATCCTTCTGCTGTACATGTTCATGAAGATCCTAGATTCCGCCTACCATCAGCATCAAATTGTGACTGTGGGCCAATTGCTTGTTCCATATTGGAGCATTTTCTAGACAAAGGGTTGAGCCACCATGTAGATGGGAGTTTGCAGCGCCCAACCATACCCTGTGGACATACCACTCGTCTCAGAATTTTTGAGATGGTGAAACTCAGCTGCAGACACCAGTGGCATCACTATCTATATCTTGGTGGCCATCTTCCAGATAATTGGGACCCAACCGATCGTATCTCCAAGGCTGCATTGGAAACCAGAATGGAAGTACCTCAGCAGATGGCACACAATCACCAGGTCATAGTGACTCAGCTTGCCACTATGTTATACAACTGCCCAAACTGCCGTCCAAACCTAACCCGTACCACAACCAGCATCTCATCTTCTGGTCTAGCACCAGGGAATATAATCCAGAATGATGAAGGTCTGGATCCGGATTCTGAAGACCATAATCCAATCAGGAACTTCATCCGGAGTGATCGGATGACAGACAATCTGAAGCAGCTCTTGGATTCCCATTCATTGACCTCCAGTACTCATATCCGCGATACGGATACCAGACCATCCAGATGGCTGCCTTTTAATCCAAGCTTTGATCAATACTGGGGTGGACCTACCCTGGAGTCCATGCGGCCCATCATGGATGCTGGTGAGATTTGGTCTTCATCCCGCAATGCTTGGATTAGTGCACTAGGGTCATCCATGCTCTTCAGAGACTATGGTTACAGGATTCTCCCCAGCTTCTCCCAGATGTTCTGGTTGGGCCCTCCAGTGGACACCCTGAATTGCATGATGGGCATTGGAGTATCTGATACATATGATCCCAGCTGGCAGGTTTCTCGCTGGAACAATGAAGGCTACAGTCTGTCACGTTGCTCCCTATTTCCTGATGACAGAACAGTTGTTGCCCGTGATGTGCGTATCATGGGAGCATCTGAGATGCTGCTACATGCCAATCAGCTGGTTTCAGAGAATGCTGAGATATACGAGACTCTCTTTGTGTATGGGGCATATCCCATCACAAACCACCGGATCTCCCTGGACCTGGAGCTTGACATGGATATTCCTGAAGAAATCAACATATCAGTGGACATTGACAGCTACATATGGGTTACCCAAGACTTTCGCCCAGCCCTTAGCATAGGGATCTACTTGGCCCCTGTGATTGAGCAGAATGCCCCCATCCATAAACATAACCACGTATATGTTGACATTCTCATGCCCCAAAGTGCTGAGGATCAGGGCTTACATGGAGCTCAAAGGAATGAGTGGTGGACCAAGTCTGTCCCTTTGAGCTCCATACCTCATGTGTCCTTTGGAGTATTGAGCACAGCAAATCACACATCCAATCTTCTCCTCTGCTTTCCCCGCATGATTCATAATCGTACCAACTCATCACGGCGCGCCACCCGCATTCCTCTTGACATCATTGATTTATTTTGGAATGAAGTGGTGCTACCTTCTATATCCCAGGAGGCGTCCAGTTCTTCCCTGCCTTATGTGGACACCACGGTGCATGAGATCAGATACAAATCTCGCAAAGGTGGATCCAGTCAGCCAGGTAGCCAGAGACCCAAGGCTACTCCGGTCTCCAGAGTTGCATTTGAAAGGATTCAAAAAAGGATGAGGACTCGGATCAAAGGTCAAGCAATGCTGGCGCCATATGGATCCTTCTTCTTTGTCTTGGAAGGCAAGGGCATCAAACTTTGGACCAAGGATGGCCAGGATGGCAGATATGACACGCCATATCAGGCTTTGAAGGCAAATTTCACAAACTTGGACTGGGATTACATGATGGACCGGAATCATGGAGAACTGTACTTGGACGTGGGCGTGAGCTTCAACCCCACTGGCCAATTTGTGGGTCTTTGGAGGCTTGATGCTTTAAAGGCCTCTTTCGAGAAAGGAGGTTTCAGAAAAGGCACTACTCACCATACCAGCACTTTAGGGCGTTATGGAGGCATTCAGGCAGAAATGAGACAGGCACATTCACGTTCCAGCCAGATCTGCTTCAGATCTGCTTATCAGTTGTGCTACGAGGCCATCAGGCCCAACAACAATGAGCCCAAGTTTGTTTCTGATAGGGATGCCTATAATCTTACCGAGGGCTACCTGAAAGAATGCAAATGGACCCAAGAAAT